TTGTTGGTAAGATGTCTTTTATGAAAAATATAAAAGTATCAATTTTAAGTCAAAAGTAATTTTATAGATTTCGAAGTGAAATTGGCAGAATGTAATTTGATCGTTCAATTTTCAAAATGATTTTTTTTGAATTATCTTGAATTGTGAATGGAAATTGTGAAATTAGGAAAAGTTAGAAATCTTAAAAGATATTCGGGTCATATGTTGACAATTATGTTATATATATAAATGAGCATTTGATATCCATATTTTTTGCATCATTATACCGGGAAACGACAAAATTTTTGCTCATCTTTTCTCATGATTCTTTATTCGAGAACAACCGGATGTATCCTTATCAATTTGCTTATTCGAATTTTTCAATCACTTCCAGATGTTATTTCATTCTATCTGCCTGTTCATATCATTCATTCTATATTTAATCTAATTGGATACAATTGTCTGTTCAAATTTTTGGTTCAAATGTTTTTAAAGATCACGGTTAAATTATGCATTATTGATTTTATATTCAGATATTAATTAGCATTTCATGATCAATTATTTTTTTCCTTTTTCTATCATTTATGTACATGTATACTACATATTGCATATTGCATGCATCGTAACATGCACGCATTTCATTGTTCAATATCAAATTGTTGCAATTTACCAATGCAGCAAAACATCCCACTGTGACATTTTAAAACTCAACCTTAATTGAGTTATTTCAATTATAATTATTTTTTAACTTAAATATGTATATTAATTAGCCTCAATGTTGTAAAGCAATTAGCAGTCATTTTAAATTACGGTATTTCTGTATGTAAAAAGAAAAGAATTTCAAACCAGATTTTAAAATTCGTTAGTAAAAAAATATTTTATTCTTTATTTTTTTGACTTTGCTTTTTTGCAAAATAAATTTGTTATCATCACAAATATAAAATTGGGGATTTTGTTTTTTTGTGCTTTATTGTTGGATATTAAAATATTTGTGGATATTAAAATATTTGTTTATCACAATCATTAAACCGATAGAAGAGAAAGGGAAACATTTTACATTGTTTTAGGATACTATGAGATCGTGGAATAGTCGTCTCGTACGAGAAAGGTTCCATCAACACGTCTTTCCATTCATTCGTCATTTCAGATATTTTGCTGAAAATGTGCAAATTTGATTAAATCGTACTTTTGTTTTCCAAAGAAATGAACGTTCAAAAATTGGTTCAATTATTGCAAATTCGATCAATTACTAAATATTTTTTCATTATTTCGTCTTCTTCTACATGATTTTATTTTGAATGGAAATGATTCAAAACTGAAAAAATACTAAATTTAACATGTTGAAATTTGAAATGAAAAAAGTGTCTCGCATTTAATGAATGAAGTTAATGTAGGAAGAAATAAATAAATTTTGAGAAGATATAAATGATAATATACGATTTGTATTCTCTCAACAAACTTATAAATTAGCCTAACTTACAATCCTACAAATTTACTTATAAACAAACAAATCAGTTTAGCTTGCAAATCATGCAAATCAATCTGTAGCCTTGTAAATTATCTTGGCTTGCTGTAATTACAGGAATGAAAAAGTTTTTAGAACTTTTTTTATTTTAAATTCGTATTAAATATTTTGCATAATTTGCAGTAGAAATATTACATTTGTATTATGCAAATCAAAAGTGAATTATTTTTTCTTTGTGTTTTAATTAAAATGAAATGGAAAAGCACAGAAAATAAAATAACCGATAGGAATGAACATTCGACTCGGATGCCTTCCGTTTGTGGAATAACGATTAATCCGGAATCCTCTAGTCCTATAACCTGCAAATTAATTTGTTTTTTAAATGTATTTTTATTCATTATTTAAATTAATCGTAAAATCAGTCTTTTCACAATCATTAAAAGGTTTCATTTAAATTTTTTCTTAAAACTTCAAATTTTTAGTAATTTTAATAATTATATTAAAATTTAAAAATTTACCAGAAGATTGGAAAGGACGGTTTTGCAATTTGCCAAGTTCTTCATCGAGAATAAGCTTCTTTATCCCAAATTTCTCATCTTCCAATGCATCAAGAGCTCGTTTTTTCATCCCGAATCCTTCACCCTCCAATGCATCGAGTACTCGTTTCTTCAATCCAAATCCCGAACCTTCCAACGAATCGAGAGCTCGTTTTTCCATCCCAAATCCCGCACCTTCTAATGCATCGAGTGCTCGTTTCTTCAATCCAAATCCCTCACCTTCCAATGAATCGAGAGCTCGCTTTCTTAACCCAAATCCCGAACCTTCCAATAAATCGAGAGCTCGCTTTCTTAACCCAAATCCCGAACCGTCCAATGAATCGAGAGCTCGCTTTCTTAACCCGAATCCCTCACCTTCCAATGAATCGAGAGCACGCTTTCTTAACCCAAATCCTGCACCTTCTAATGAATCGAGTGCTCGTTTTTCCATCTCCAATCCCGTACCTTTCAACAGATCGAGAACTCGCTTTCCTATCCTAAATCTGTCACCTTCCAATCCACCAAACTGATTCCCATCTATTGAATTTAATGATTGTTTCGTTTGAAATCTGGAGCCTTTCAAAAAATCTTGCATCCTTTCTACGCCATCAAATTCAGATTTTGCATCATTAAGTTCACTCAAAACCTGGAAAAATTTACTTCTTGCATCTCGCACTTTTACACATATCTATTAAAAAAGTGGTTTTGACCAATCGATTTATCGATTGTTTTTCCTATCAATCTAAAATTGCAAATACTTGCATATTGCTATTTTCATCAAATATTGTTTATCTTTAATATAATTTTGTAATTATGATAGTTGAATACTTTATCCATAATTCTTAAGATTTATTATAATCAGCTAATAAATATGATCAAGTGCTAAAAAATAACGGAATAAAAGTATATTCCATTATTATATATACCATACGTTTAATTAATTATTTAATTTTTATGAAATAAAACAGAAGGATTTACCAGTAATAAGATGACTAATGATAACATCTGATAAGCCAACATTAGTAATCTCTTTTACAGCTGAAATAATTATACATTTAATATCAGTTTAAATGAGATGTAAAAATGTGGTCGGAAAAGTATTGTTTATTACTGCTTCATCAATAAAATAATCAATAAAGTATAAATAAACGATAGCGATTTAACATTAATTACGACATTTTCGTTGGTTAATGATTTAAAAACATTGCTGCTCTTGCAGTATTATAATTTCACTTTGACAAAGATGTTTGCCTCACAATATTTTAATTTCATTTTGTTAAAAGTGTTGATTTTATAATTTTTATTTTCATAAGGTAAAGAGGGTAATTTCTTGCTGAAAAACTAATATCATTACATCAATCTTAATTAAATTCTATAAAAATTTAATGAGCAGTTTAAGTTTCTGAAGGTAAAGGTAAATAGATAAAAATTTTATGTGTATGTAAAACACATGATAGAAAATTCATTAATAAAATTCATTTATTTTCTTGTCAAAGGTAAAATTAACTCAAGTATTTCACATTTTCAAACCTATCAAATTGTGTTGTATAAATTTTATATTATCTTTTATATTCGTGCTATCTTATCTTTATTATGATTGCGTCATCTTCATTATGATTACGTCATGCTAATTATATTTTTATCACTCATCATTGACACAGGAAGTGAAGAAAGAGCAATATTAATTTAAATTAATTGTTCTTATTTCAAATAAAATACCCAACATAAAATTTTCTTATTGTTATATTAATGAATTTGTTATATTTTTTGATTATATATCATTTAAAATATAAGAAGATATATCGCTTATAACGTTTATAATTAACAAAAATTCTTAAATAAAAAATTATAAACCATTCGAAGATATTTGCTTTGACTATTTAATTAACAGTGTAAAATTGGTATACTTTAGATTGTTGTGGAAATGTTTGGATGATCACAGCAGCACGTTACAAATATTTATGTTATTATCGCATTCTACCAATTTAGATATTATAGATGCCAAATCCATAATCATAATTGAAAAATTTAATTCATTTACTTTTCATAATTTGGCCTTAAATATTTAAAAGATAGTGTGATAATTAATTGAAATTAAAATTCAAATAAAAAAAAAACTACCTGCAATTTTTCTTTTGCTGAACAACTTATTTAATTGAGAAATAAAATTTAACAAAATTCGAATAATAATACCTTTTATTTTAGCTGATTGATTACAAGCATTTTAAAATGAATATTTAAAAATTCTGGACAAATTTACGTCAACACATTCAAGTTGCAGTAATTTAAGTTAAATATTCATCCGGAAATCAATTACTAACCAGTGAACATATGGGGCAGGTGAGGAAGGAAATATTAGCACCTTTTCCTCTTAAACTTTTTCCAAGAATAAACATTTGTGAATTACTTCCGATTGAGTAAGATGAAACGGATTATAAATGAAGCATGCAATAAATGAGAAAATAAAGTGAACTTGTCCAAAAATATCATTTTCGGAAATATAATTTGAAATGAAACAGAGAAATGGATGAGTAACAATAAGGCAGTGTGAAGAAGAAAATTGAAATGAAAATTAACACTTTTTATTAAAATATTTTAATAAAACCGGAATGTTTTGATATTTGCTAGCTAAAGCATCACCTGATATATGACATATGTTGGATAAGAAAAGGAAGAGGGAATTTTTAGATAACATTTATATTTTAAGAAAAACAATAAATTTTCTTAAAATTTAAATTTAAACTTTCAGTAACTTATCTATCATTTGTTACGTTTCATGTAAGATAGAATGAAATTTGAAAAATCATGGAAAATTTGATGTCAAACGATAATTTTGTCAAGATCAGATTTTCAAGCGGATAATGGCTGAACAATCACGTGAAATTATAGACTTGAAAACATTTTTCGTTCTAATAAGTTTGATTGAAAAATGGTAGTTTGATAAATCAGAAGATAGTGAATGGACGATTTTTATAATCAAATAATATCCAACAAATTTTTTTAATAGTCATTGATGTATGCGAAAAGAACGTAAGCATTGATAATAGAGGTGAGCAGCCAGTTTAGGTGACATGAAATTCTGGCAATAACTTCGATGGAACCTCATGTTAACAATACTTTAGTAATAACATTATTAAAGTATCGTCATATTTTAAATTTATTCTTCTAGTTGGGAATTACACGTGAGTTACACAAACTAAACGGTCAATCCTTTAGTCTGCTGTTGATATGATAAGAATGACATTAATAATCGGTAACACACGCATCACAGTGAATGAAATGATATAGAATTTCTTTTTTTTCTATCCTTTTTCTAGAATAATTAACGTATTTTTCCAATTCATATTACTCCAATGAAAAAAGAGCAAAAATGATAATTAATATTTACATTTTTTTGTTTCGTGTTTTTATTTATTTTAATAATAAAATTTTTTTCCTTTAACTTTAGAATCGAAATTTTATCTTATTTATTTCAATATAATTGAAAGGAAAATAATAATATGATTTTCATAAATGAATAAAAAAATTTTTCACAAAACATTTTAAATATCCAAAGGAGTAGAAGATGTAATAGAGCGAATATTTTTAATTTTATCTTTTCTTTAAGTGCAAAATGAGAAAAAAGCTTTTAAACTGAGTCATATTGCATTATTTTAATGCTTTAGCTAATGTTCAGTTTAAAACTGTTAGCTTTTAAATATAATGGATAAATAAGCACTTGATGATATGTTTATCAATGATAAATGCACATTTTAATTGAACCAGTAACTCTTACTTTTTAATTGAAAAGAAATTTTTTATTCTTTATTAATATATAATTTAAAGAGGACGAAAAAATTTGATCGAAACTTGGAAAATTGTTGAATAGTCAAAATGGTATTTAAATAACTATTATTAAGTATTTGCGTGTATTTACTTTTTCAATAATAACACTTTGCAGCAATTTCAAAATTTCGAATTAGTCATGTGCAGAACATTGCAAATAAAATAAATTAGCAGATTAGTGGTATAAGTATAATGGACAATAAATAAAAATAAAATTTTAGATCCTTTTTTTCTTATTGATTTATTAGAAATCAATCTATTCACTTTCTCATAAAAAAAATATAAATTCGTTAATCGCAAAACTTTTCACAAATATATTTACACATATGCATTATGCACGTGAGAATTTTTGGATGAGCAAAAGCCGTAAAAGGAATTAGGAATTTGTGAGAAATTCTGCAATTGTTTATCTCAATCCAATAAGTAGTTGAATAATGCATAACTGAAATACTAATTTTGTCATGCAATATAAATGAGACTGTATAAATATCTCAGCTATTTGTTCAATCTCTCTTTTGCTGTACGGCTAACCCTACATATGTTAAACTTGAATTCTTAATTAATACAATGAAAAAATTTAAAGAAAAAAAAAGAGAATAAAAAAAATAATTCATTCGTATTTGACAAATATAAATTGCAAAAAAATTTAATAAACGACTGTATTATTACAATATTTAAAGCAATCCATTGCTTGTTTGGCAACTAAATTGCATTCTCATCAAATTCTTAATTTATATATAGTCATCAGTGGCATCCGAAAAATCATTATTTCCTTTTTTTCTTCATTGCATTAAGTCTATCAGTATTACAAGAACTTCATCAATCCTATTTAAATACGCTCATATTGAAATAAACTAAAGCACCAACTTTCGTTAGCTTATTTAATTTTTCAACTAATGAATTCATTAATTATCCTTTTTCAATCATTAATATTATATACATTCACTTGCCACTTAATCATTTTTTTTTTAGTTGATAATTATCAAAAAAACAGGAGATAAAAAAAGTTTGTTTTTGCCTTTTTATTTTATTAGATAAAAAAAGTTTGTTTTTGCCTTTTTATTTTATTAGCAATAGTAAATGTGAGAAAAACAAAAAAAACAATGCTATTAGTTTAATTTTAGAATAATAAATGACTTTTAAGCGAGTAATGTTCAATTCACATTGATAATTCAGTCATATTTATATGCTTATCCTGAAAAAAAGTGGTTTAGTATTATTTGAAAGTGCTAAAAGATACTGGCAGGAATGCATAATAACGACGATTACAGACCTTTTTCATCTTTTTTTTTACTTTCCCTTTCTTTCTCTCCCTCTCTCCTTCTCTAATCAAAGATTCAATTGCTTATAAAATAAAATGCTAAGCATTTATGGGTGTCATTCAGTTAGAACGACGATATTATTTTAAGTTACATGCCATTTTTTAGACAATAATCTCTTGAAAATGTTAAAAAAAACTGATAAGTAGCATCATTAGAATTAAATTAAATTGAAAATTAAATACAGTTTTTTTAAACTAAACTAAAAACCTTGAAACGCAAAAGCAAAACATATTCTCAATCATCTGAACTGACAAATACAGTCAAAATTGCTACTAATTTTCCTTTGAAAAAAAGTTATCCATTATTAATTCGAATTTAATAAATAACTCCATCATTGACTCGATATATCTTCAACGAAAAGTTTGAAAAAGTTCGTCTTTAGCCATATTTATTTTTTTTTATTTCATTAACTTTTTTAACTAATTGGCCAATTCGTATTTTTAGATAA